TCGTCACACACGAAGCAGTTCGGTAGGGGCAGGACGATGCTGTAGCTCTGCTCCGAAGCAAAAAGCTGGTATGCATTGGACCGGCTGCCTTTTTATGCTCACGCTGTGATCAGCGGCAGCTGGATACAATTATCTTTTAGTTTACACTCAAAGTGGATTGGTCTCTCTAAGTGAGATCCCAATTCTTCGGTCACCGATGTGACGTCGAGAGTGACCGACTGAAAGGGAAATACAGTTCTCTCACTCACAGACACTACATTAAATCCTCTATTCAGATGAGAGCTTGTCAAATCAACTAAGTGATTTCCAAGTTATCACGCAATCAGGCCTGTATAATACAGCCAGGCCTCAGAAAGATATGAAATCAAAAGGAAACACCTGCAAGCATCCTTGACCCCCCCCCATTCAGTCGCTCTTATGAGTGTATGGGCGACTGTGGTGACTTCTCCTCCTACATCAGCCGCTGTCACTCTTGCAGAGTGGAGAGTGGATGTTGGATGATGTATGATCATCCCAACTACATGGGAAACCAGTATTTCTTTAGGAGGGGAGACTATGCTGATTACATGTCCATGTTTGGAATGAACAACTGCATCAGGTCCTGCCGTATGATCCCTATGGTGAGCTCAATTAACACTCTATTGCTTATTTTGCAATGTAAATTACAAAAGTAAAACTTATTTCATTGTCCTCTATTTATTTTTATATTTTCTGTTGGTTCTGCTTGATAAACTTGAAAATAATGCACTTCTCTCCCACTACAGTACAGGGGATCCTACAGAATGAGGATCTACGAGAGGGAGAACTTCATGGGCCAGATGTATGAGATGATGGATGACTGTGACAACATCATGGACCGTTATCGCATGTCTCACTGCCAGTCCTGTCATGTGATGGACGGCCACTGGCTCTTCTATGAGCAGCCCCACTACAGAGGCAGGATGTGGTCAGGCCTGGAGAGTACAGGAGCTTCAGTAATATGGGTGGCATGAGATTCATGAGCATGAGGCATATCATGGACTCCTGGTACTAGTTTTCTAGCATTTCTTAAATTGTTAATTAAATAATTATTTCCTCAATAAAATAATTTCTCTACAACACGATGTGCCTGCAAAATCATTACTGCCACTAATATTTGCATGTCTAATCAATCACAAAAAATAATGACTTACAGATTAAACATTAGGCTTATGAGACTACACTAAAAAAAAAATGCTGGGTTATTTTTTAACCCAAATTCTGGGTTCAGCCTGTTTGGTCATTTTATTGGGTTATCTTTAATATTTTTATCCAGGTGCTGGTTAGTTTTTCTGTAACTCTGCTGCTTGGTCATTTTCACTGTCAGTACAAATGATGAACACTTTCACACACCTACCCAGCGCTGGGTCAGTGTAATCCAATGTTGGGTAAACTGTGCCAAACCGGTTAAAACATGATACATTTGTTAATTGTCATTTTGTGTTCTGTCCTGAGAGAAAACCTGACTGACAGGAAACTTGCTGAATGAAAGGTTTGCATTACATTGTATTCCTGTCTAATTATTACTATATAAATAGGAGCACGTCTGTGTCAGACTGTTGTACCTGTTTTGCCCCCCCGTAGTCCTTCATGTGTTTCCGTATTTGGTAATTTTCCTGTCCTCGTTTAGTCTGATTGTCTTATGTGATCCACCTGTGTCTCTCCAATTATCCCTACCATTTAGGCTCCTGTCTTTGCATTTCTGACAGGGGGTTTCACATTGCATGACTTCACAATAGGAAGAATCGAGGACAGCTCCAGATATTTAGCATGCCAAATATTTCACGGGCGTTGGCGACGCATCGGCGATTCCCTCAGATCGCGTCTTTGATAATTCACACTGCGTGATTGTCACTCGCGTGAACGAGCACCGATTTTCCTCCGATTTCGGGCATTTGTCTGCGATTTCGCAAAACCTGTCGGCGAGTGAAAAATCGGGCTAAAATCGTGCAGTATGAACTCAGCATTAGTGTGACAGAAGACCCGACCTAAAACAGTTTAAATTGTGTTTCCCCTCCATTTTGTTTCTCGTTTTTCTCTCAGTGTTTTTGTTTCTGTGGTGTGCCCTAATGGATCCCCTCCTTCGCCCCGAATTCCTCCTCCTCCTGCTGGAGCAGGGGGAGCG